TTGAATCAGTCTTCAACTGCAGCTATTGTAATCATTTAAATGCTTTAAACTTAGATGCAATCATAATTGTAATCAAGTGTATTTTACTTAGTTTTAAGTACATGTTTCTCTTCAATTAGTACATGTCTACTGAATTCTCCCAAACTAATAGTGACTTCATCTGTAGATACTAACTTTTACAAGGAATGCGCCCGCGTCACACATTACGTGGTGGTCTTCCGAGGTGATAACAAAGCTATCAAAGGTAAGTGGAAGGAGCTAGTTGCTAGCTCATCCAAGTCATTTCAACAGTCCACTGCCTCCTCAGTCAGCCCCAACAACGCAGGAAAATGGAAAAGATCAAACAAAATTTGATCTTGTTCGTTGTTAATGGAACGAGACCTTTCTCAATTTCAATACGAAATGTTAGTGATACAATGTTTAACTAGTTGTGCAACAGAATGGCACAGACTTTCCCGACTAAGTTTACAATTATTTTGATCTCCGTTGGCTATTCCTATTTGCCACATACTCTTGCCAGGTGTCATCTATCGCCAGATAAAGTACATTAAAAAATCTCAACTTTTGGGTTTAAAAAGTGTACAAAAGAAATATTTATGTACAGTAAAACCTTGTCCTAAATGACAATTTTATTTGAAAAATTTAAAGCCGTAGGTTTTTAAAAAAATGTTTGAATTTTCGAAAAACTTCATGTGGAGTAATTTGAGCACATTAACCCCCAAATACTAAAGTGTTTACAAATTGCTGGAAATGTACATATTAATGGTGTGATAGATCTTTCAAAAAATTATATTTGTGTAATTAAAAAAAAAATACCCCAAAATGAACTTTATGTTATATTAAAGAGTGCAATTACCACTATCAGTTCCAAAAGTTTGAAGAAAAACTTTGCAGCCATTAATGAGAAAATGGCGTTTGAAAATTTCTGAAAATGCGAAATTTTGAGCATGTTTTCACACAAAAGTGCTGTTTTTGAAAAACTTTAATTTTATTTAAAGCACTTATACCCATAAATATAATAATGTGAACAAATAGCCGCGAATGTAAATATAAACGACGTGAGACAAGTAAAAAAATAGTTTTGTAAATTTTGAAAACAACAACAAAAGAATAGAACAACATTGCGTTTATGTCATTTCATAGAGTACATTTAGTACTATCCACACCAAAAGTTAAAAGAAAAAATGGAGATGCTTTTTAGAAAATCTTGATTTTGGTATTTTTTAAAATTGCATCCAATATTGCGCGAAAATTGCTAAAATTTTCAAAAAAATGTAAATGGCCTTAATGAAAGACTGACAAAAGAAAACAAATTTTATTTGAAGGGAAAATCTTTATCTTCGATTTCGAAGGAAGACGCCGCAAAAATTCAAAATTTTGCAATTTCGAAAATTTAGAGTTAACCGTGAAAGTATGACATATGCCATCTTAATAAGTGTATTTTAATCTATTCTTCCAAGAAATTTAAAGAAAAAACTTAGGAGCCGTTTTTGAGAAAATTTTGAAAATGTCCGGGGAGGTTCAAGAAAAGTAGGCCCCAATTTTGAAGAAAATTTTCAAAATCGCAGCGTCTTCCGTGAAACCAGATCGACCAGGGAATATGCATTTTGGAAAAAGTCATACGTATGGTTTCGACGCTAGTGGTGTTCATAGTCACGTTCTGGCTTCAATCGGGTTCAAGGATCCATAACACGGATTCTGACTACACAATGTGTTAGAGGATTTTTTTCTTAATTTAGCAACTGGATTGATCCAATTTTTCATTATCAGGGCTCAGCAATGAATTTTTTTTCTCTCGAAAATCCACGTTTTTTCACCCAGCATTACATAACTTTCCCTATTGTTCGTATTTTACTCCGTGAATACGGGAAAGTAAATAACCACTTTTTCGGCATCAGGGGACACCAAAACGTGAATTTCTGTTGAAATGTCGAAATCGATTCCGCAGCATGAACTCCCCTATGCTACTTATATTACTCCGTATATGCGGGAAAGTAAAAACTAGAAGTGTTGAAGGAAAACATGTCTAATTGTATACAACTGTAAATCATAACCAAGTTTTGAGAAATAAATTGAGAAACTGGATCACTTTTAATTGAATTTTGTATTTTCAAAAGTGTTTAGTATTTGGTATCTAAAATACATTCGAGGAAGTTTTGTATCTGAAATACTTTTCACTTTCCCGTATATATGGATTAATATATTGTATCCACACACATCGTCGTGGTCACCCCGACTCACCTTATTTTTCTTCTTGGATTCAGCATTATTGCCCCGGCTGCTCCGTCGGTAGACACTCTAGAGGGAATCATGCATGTTTGGGGCTAACTACTACTACCACTTCTACTTCTTTCAAAACGAGACTTCATTTGTTTTAAGACGAATTTAATGCGCTAAATTTGCGATTTAAGTGAATCCACATACCAAATTTAACCTTATTAACTACCTTCAAACTAATCTTAGCTTATACGGCCGGCATGGCCAGAGTTCATTTATGCCCGCTGGGCATTGTCCTTCCGGGCGGTCGTGACCCGGCTTGCAGGAACGGTAGCCCCGCGTCTGGAAGTGGGGGCGGTCGCCGGCGGCGCCTTCACCCCGGTCCTTAGTCCGACAGGGCGGTCAGCGGCGTCGGCTCGGGGATCCTGAGCCCCACCTGTTGCGTTAGCGGCGGTCGTCGGCCGGCTGGCGTCTTCGCGGCGCGGCAGCGAGCGGACGACAGTGCATCGGCCCGTGCGTTGGCAGTACGATCCGTGGTCGCAATACTCGCGTCCCGACCCGTCGTCACTCCGGGCTCGCAGTCAGGCACTTACGGCATGGCCCACCATAACTGCTTCCATCCATCGACCCCAGAGTTGGTCTGAGATGTTTCGATGCGGCAAGCTGGCTCCGCGGTCAGAAACAGAATGAACTGGCTGCTGGCTCAGAGGCCAGAATGTAGAGAGCTCGCTACGCGGATCGGAATATAATGCAGCCAAGCTGGCTCCGCGGATCCGAACAGAATAAAGAAAAAGCTCTCTCCGCGGATCCGAGGAGTGTGCGTCTAGCGCTTGCCATGAAGGCTTTGCGGATCACGTGACCCTCCCCCGCGTCATTTCTCGCGATTGGTGGACGCGCGTCACGCGGTTTCTCCAACCTATCGCGGCGTCGATAGACAAACGCCCTCGCCTTACCAAATTCCGGGAAACTCCCATCGGCACTTGGGTTCTGAGAGGCAGGCGCGGCAGCGCGAGCGTTGGGGGCGGTAGGCGTACTTCCCGATGAGCCTTAGGGTACGGCCTGGCGTGGGTTGCGCCGGACAAAAGAGCTGAATTCCATCGATCCCAGGCGCGCCCGAGAAAGCCTCAGATAGCCAGAAACGGCGTTTCCTGGCAGAGGCCCTATGCTCAATAAAATTATTAATTCACGCGTCGCCACCCGACACGTGCGACCGTCCTATTACTATATGTAATATAGAAAAAGTTATGTAATACTGCGGAAAATCGATTTCGAGATTTCAACAGAAATACACCTTTTAAAGCCCCCTGATACAGAAAAGGTATTTTTTTTTCTTTCTCAAGCGTCCGTTCATCTGGTGTATGTGAACAATACTAGCGTGTAAAACGTATAGGATTTTTTTCAGATTCAAAAAAATCCCCTGTCGATCTGTCTTGAGTCGAAGCTCTGCGATTTTGAAAAACGGTAATTAAGTTTTGGGGGTACTTTTCATAAAGTCCCTGGGGCATTTTCTCAAAAATGGCTTCAAATTTTTTCTTTAAATTTCTTCTAAGGATAGAACAAAACACGCTAATTTATGTGCCATAGGTCCGATTTTCGCGGTTAACTAAAAATTGCAAAAGTTTGAAACTACAATATTGAAGATAGAGATTTTTCTTCAGATAAAATTTTCCCATGATGAGTTCTATCATAAAGGCCAGGTACATTTTTTTGAAACTTTTAGTAGGTTTCGTGGTTTGCAATTTTAAAAAATTACCAAAAACAAGATTTTCTCAAAATCAATTCCAAATTTTTTCTTTAAACTTTTGGTAGGAATGGTGCTAAATGCATTCTATAAGATGACATGAGCTCCAAAAGGCTCTATTCTTTTGTTATTTTCAAAAATTAATTTTTTTGACTTCTCTCAAGTCGTTAATATTAATATTAACGACAATTTGCTCACATTATTATAGTTATGAGTACATGTGCTTTAAATAATGTAACAAAGTTTCTCGATAACTCAACCATTTTCTGTGAAAATGAGCTCAAGTTATGCATTTTCAGAAACGCTCAAACGCGATTTTCTCATAAACGGCTCCAAATGTTTTCAATAAACTTTTTGAACAGATGGTGCTAACTGCACTCTTTAGTATGATGGTAAGTTCATTTCGGGGCTCTTTTTTCTGAAAAATACACAAATGTATTATTTTAAAATATTTCTCACACCATTAATATGCACATTTACAGGAATTTGTAAACACTATTGTATTTGTGAGTGAAAGTGCTTCACACGACATTAATTTTTCAAAAATTAACAATTTTTCTGAGAAAAAGTGCTTCAAATTTCCAATTTAGTGGCGCTTAAACGACATTTTCTCAAAAATTGTTCTGCATTTTTCAAAGAAAATAGCCATTGAGGATGAGGTTTTACTGTTATTTAATATTCTTGAAGTAATATATCAATTCCCCTAGTAGGAAATTGAGAAAATAAGAAAATTTCAAAAAAAAGAACTGAGTGGTGATAGATGTTTGCTAACACGAGTATGTGGAAAGTTTGTATATTTAGCCGAGACCAAAGGAAATAGAAAACTAACACGGGAAGGTCTGTGCCATTTGAAGCACCACTAGTTTCAAGTATTTTGCCACTCTTTTACTACCTTTATTGTTTTGCAATTAAAATGCACACTTCAATATTTCACTGTAATGTTGCATCTCCCAATATATTCGCACTATGCTTCATTGAAAAAAAGAGGAGGGGAAATTTTTACTACTCAAATTGCCAGGTGTCACAAAAAATTGTGAAGTGCTGAGTGTCACGAACTGAAATTTATTATCATAAAAAATTATACAATGTGAACAGTGAGCCAAACAACAACGATAACTCCTTTGAGCAGTCTAATTCAATTTGCCAATTCATAATGGAAAATACTCTCACACAGTTCATATTGCATTATAATTTTAGAGATGTACTAGTTAACATTTTCTTTTTTGTCCTGTTTTATTTCAGTCACGCCTGTAGTTCACCCATAAATTATTTCAAGCTAGAGGGTCAGGAGGGGGTTTGAGGCAGCTCTATGCCATGCTATGTAATGGAAGGGAGGAGGGGGGCATAGTTTTGTATTTTGCAACACAAAACTTTAGATCTTTTTTCAATAGTTGCAGTAATAATTCCTTTTATTTGGGCTTACACTAAAACATTAAAATATTAACAAATTCAATTAAAAAAGCTATAATGCATAAATTGTATCAATGTGCAAATACTTTTTCATCAATGTTAATATACTGATGGAATCTTTTAGATTTAGAAAATATTTAAAACCAGTCTACAGCTTTTTCCAACTCAATTGACGAGGTACACTCTTATCACACATTCATGTTGACATTACAGGGGGAGGAGAATTCAAAATACAGCACATTAGCATTATGAAATTTATAGATTTCCCCATAAAGGATTCTATCTGCAATTCAAGTTACTGACTAGAACTTTCAGAAAAAGGGAGAAAGGTGACATTGTGATCAAATAGGTTAGGATGTCCAGATACCAAGTAGTTGTATGGTCTACAATGTAATTTGAAGATATTTCTTTTCCATAGAGAACACAAATAATTAATATAGTTCCTTTAATAATTCAGAAACTTCTGTACATAATTAAGTTACATCTTTAAAGTCCATTGGATTTTTATCTTACAAAGTTAGCTAGTCCATTTAGGTACTCGAACAATATAACAAATAAAATTACCCTACTATTAGAAGATTGTCATCAGGGAATTCGTAGAAAGGAACTTCCAAGTTGAGAGGAGCAGGACCTTTCCTAATACGTCCAGAGGCATCGTAGTGAGAGCCGTGGCAAGGGCAGTAATAACCTCCATAATCACCTAAAATATATCATAATGTTTTACATTAATGTTGCACACACACACGCTAGATATAACTAATGTAATAATCCACATCTAAAAGCATGTGAATGATTATCTGTAATAGTGGTGATTCTAAAAAAGCCCATTCATCCATTTCATATCAAAATATGACCTATGGTCATTGATACATGGCTGAATATCTATCAATCTATCTATCTATCTCTCTCTCTCTCTCTCTCTCTCTTCTTCTCTCTCTCTCTCTCTCTCTCTCTCTCTCTCTCTCTCTCTCTCGATATAGATATATATTATATAATATACTATATATATATATATATATAATTGTACATTTTTTAAGGCCTGTCTCCGACAAGCATGTTGATGTGTGTCTTAGATTATCACTGTATCTTATGTGGAACAGACAAAGTGCTAGTGTGTTTTTTGCAGAAGATATACTGTTATTCTATGATACTTCTTACTGGTCACATCAACATACTGCTCAGGTGCAGAGACCATCACAAGGAAACAATTCATTAAGTCTTCTATGAAATACAATCTTAACAAACCTAAATGGAAAGTTGACTTCATTACTAAGCATAAATATTAAGTCTCTACATTCAGAATGAAACGTTTTGATATTACAAGATGGCACTTACAATTTCAGCTATGTAAATAAAAACAAATTCTAAGGTTTCTGACATTTAATCTAAAAGTCTACAACAGCCTATGCTCTGCGGATGGTACCAAGCTCATTTTTCTGTAAAAGCTCCATGAATTAAAATTCTTTAATTAGGAAAAGTAAACAATTACTAATCTAAAAATTACTACCCAAAATAGCAGAAGGAAGAAGGACTAAATGTTGATTAAAAATTTCCTTCAACAGGCAGAAAAGAAAGTTTGAATATTAAAGAACTGGAGGACAAAATAGATGAAGTTTCTTAGGAATCACAATAAAAAAAAAGCTCTGAAGACTGAACTGAAGAACTAAGAAGAACAAGTATTAGGAAAAATAGCAGAAAGAAAATTATATAAAATTATAAAAGATTTAGGAATATCACTTAGGTCCAAAACCCAACTGATTGAGAATGATATTTCTAATCATACTATTCAGGCGCAAAAGCTAAACATTAAAATAGGCAAGTAAAAAAAAGGTTACCATGGAGGAAAATACTGGATGTAAAATGGAAAGACTAAAACAAAAGCAAAATTTTGGAAAAATTAACCCCAATATTTTTCTAGAAGCAAAAGCTAACTTAATTGAAATTAAATTTTTTCTAGGAAATTATGAAAAATTCCTGAAAAAGATTATGCTTGGAATCACAGAAAGAGGGGAAGAAAGATCTCGGCAACACAATGAAATAATGAGGACTAGTCATTACACGCTAGTCATTACATATGTTCACGATAGAAACCAACGGTGGAAGCTAATACATGTCACAAACAAACGGAAGAGTGTTAGAGAGAGCAGTGATCTAACAGCTAGCACCCTATTGCTGAGTATATCTAGTTAGGATAATGAAGGATTGCTTGTTACAAGGTGTACTATACTACTACAAAACTATTATAGTATGCCTACGTATTATTGTCAGTTCATGTATTAATTTGAACATTAACCCAATTTCAAGTATTTTCAATTTCATCTCAGTAATTATTTATTAACTTATGGAATTAAAATCTAATTGTATCTATATATAAGGAATTTAAGAAGTGAAAAACAAAACATACCTGCATTAGCAATAGGGACGCATCCCAAGTGTGTGCATACACCAATCAACACAAGCCACTGAGGTTTCTGAACTCTCTCGTTGTCATGCTGAGGATCTCGCAATGAAGCAACATTAACATTTCGTTCCGAGTCAATCTCGCTTGCAGTCCTACATGACCACCATTTGTATAAGAAACTATACCAATGAATACAATTATTGAAATATTCAGAAAATTTCAGATAAAATTACCTGTGTCTGATAAACAATGGCTTTCCACGCCATTTAAATGTAACACTCTTCCCTTCAGGAATATCTGATAATTTGATTTCAATCTTGGCCAAAGCAAGAACATCTGCTGATGCACCCATGCTACTTACAAAATCTCCAACCAATGTTTTTGCTGCATATGCTGATACTATAGAACCACCTACAAACAGTTTTCTTTCAGTCATCAAGCACTACAGGCATTAGAAACACAGCATTAAATAGAAATTAAACAATTTTATACCTCCTACAATCATGTAGGTAAAGGCTTTTCTAGATTCTTCAGAGTTTCGGCTTGAGACATTGGAGTTTTGAACATCCCTCCTTCTATATGCAGAAAAATCAGGAATTTGGATATCTGTGTGGGCATGTCTTATTTGGGTGGTAACTGCAATTGAGAAGGGAAAATTCATGATAGAACTTCAGCACTAAAAACGAGCCTTTTGAAATTAAATGCACCAAAATATGCTATATACGTACCCGGCACCCCTGATTTCACGGATACATATCCTTTAGGCAACTGCTGACTTAAAGAATAGCTCGTAAGGTACGTTGGTGCTGGTTGAGAGTTGACTTTGTCGCTTACTACAGGCACAGGAGCAGCCAGTGGTTTTAACCCAGAAGCAACAACCTGTGTCGTTGATTTTAGGTAAGGAGCTAAATTGCTCGTACGAGCCACCACGTTTATCATGGCTTCTCTAGTAATTCTTTACTACCACTCTTGATCAAGCCTTTTTCTTCGGTTCAGCAAATGGTGACCGTCGGCTGGCCGTCCCTGATGTTGCCCTGGTGGAAGTGGAAAAGGCTAATGACGAAATTTTAATTCACTGTTTAGCCACCAGGGAAAGTATGAGAAATTCAGCAAATTCAGCAAATACGCAAATTGGCTTATTCTTATTAATTTGACGGCCACTAAGGGTTAATTCATCAAAATAATTATTAAATTTCATTAAGAATTGACCATCATCTGATAAAACGGTTATAATGGACGGAGTGATGTTATATGTGTAGAAAATGGACGCATGGTGTTTCATACCCAACTGTTTCCGGCAGTAGTAGCCTACACCAACATTTCTTTTTATGCACGGGTTAGAGAAATTAAGTTATTTATAAATAGCGAACGGACCTATCTCAGGTATTATTTAAATTATATTTTATGTAATTCAAGTATTATTAACGCTGTAGTATAGTTTAAGGAGGTCATAGGTGCACAGGTATTCTGGGACACTACGCATTTGTGAAATTTGCGGGACTCCATGCAGCGGGCACGGATTGTAACATTGGTGTTGCATGAATCGTGTCAAGATGGTTGCATGTTTATGATTTGGCGCAGGGCTTACTTAAACTATGCCTTCTGCGTGAACTTATGTAGATTTGTGTAAACGAAGTTATTTTGGACATTGCAGTGTTTGGATATGTGGCGTTTATAGTGTTTATCACCCATTAAGTTTCACATTGTTCGTTCGAAAACCTCCCAGTCGACGATTGCTATCTTGAAATTTATTTAGGCCTAAGTGCATTAACTGCAATGCACTAAATTTAGATGTGGGCATTCACATGTGATATTCAAACTATACATTAGGTGTGTAATGTCGTTCCAATTGGTGTATAGTGAATAAAGATAGCGTTGAACGAACGGTTCGGACTTCATCAGATAATTTTTTTGGTCGTTTGCTTCGTACAGTGATTATCAACAGTGTCATGTTAGACTTTTAGATGCATTATATGTTAAATTGTTGAAGTATTTTTAGTAACGTGTAAATGTGAAATTAATAAATGAATTCAACTGTTTATTATCGTATAAGTTTGTAAATATAGTTTGCTTATTAATATTCTAATTTAACTTGGTGTTTCTTTTACTGAAACGAGGTTGTCTTTATTTACTAATATTGGTATTTTAAAATATGAAAAGAGAATCAACAGTGTTATTTTTGTTTCAGTTAATACATTCCAAATAACATCTGGAATGGATTCACAGCAGCAGTTTTGTCTAAAGTGGAACAGTTTCGGCAGCAATTTAGCAACAGCATTTGGCAATTTGTTCAAGTCGGAAAGTTTAGCAGATGTCACATTGTTTTGTGAAGGTAATTTTATTGAACAGCTTCACATTTCAAGTGTATTGAAGAAAGTGAGAGTAAGATTTAACTATGAAATTAATTCAAAGAGAGATAGATTAACTTTTGTGTTAGTACTCATTTTTCTTGGTTCTTGACAAATTGTATTTGAAAGAGAAGTACTGAAAGTGCTGTGAAATTTTAGCACCTGCTTGAAAAACTGTGGGCTATTTCCTTGCTTGATTTCTTTGATATAAATTTGTTTGTTGAAAAACACAAATTTTCTTCAATGATAATCTTCAAATTAAAATTCCGATTTCTAGTGCACTTTTTCTTTTGGAAGAAAATTAAAAAATAATAATTTTGTTTGTTTTAAGGTAGTTTTGTGATGACCTTGACAGATAAGAGGTATTACATTATAAAATGTTAATTCTGTACCCACTTAATTACTGAATTTTCTCTATATTAATTCAATACGTTGTTTGAGAATGTCACACTTCTAGTCTATTATGTTTTAATTCGATTTGGAATTAATGCAAGTGAAAAAGTTACGAAATCCTAAGTGTTCTTGTGTTAATAAGTTAGAATGGTTATATTTACGTAGGTTCTATTTTGAAACAGAAAATAGCAACTGTTTGAGAATTCATAATTGAAGTTTTTTAATTGTAGTTTGAGAAGTAGAATTTTCTTCTACTTTTTGTACAAAACATGTGTAATATTATGTACAAGGAGATCCTTCAGTTCAGGAGGTAAAATTTTTCTTTCCCAACAATGTGTTGACTGTGTAGTTTCATCTGTGTTAGTGTGAATCACACCATTTTCATTACAATTGCAGTGTGATTTATTGCTCAATATTTTATTTTGGGATCAAAAGTTTTTGACATTCTTTATAAGATATTATTGGATGTGAGGTTTGAATTGGTATTAATGTAAAAATACAATTTGAAGAGAAGGGGCTTTATCTCGAATATTTTTTTGAATTGGCAGCCTTGTATGATTGTTCTACAGATAAAATTTTGAAAATGGGGCATATTTGGTAAATGGTACTGGTACTAATTCAAATCTGTATTTTCTGTTGCAGGAGTGACATTTCGAGCACATAAGCTCATCCTGGCAGCATGTAGCAAACATTTCCAGGATCTTTTTGAAATGGCCCCTTTGAACCCCACTGTGCTGGTCATTATGGATGGCACTTCATCATCAAATATGTCAGCACTGCTCGAGTTCATGTACAAAGGGGAAGTCCATGTATCTCAGGAATGTCTCTCCAGTTTTCTTAAGGCTGCCGAGTGCCTGCAGGTGAGTTAGCAGATTGTTATTGTTCAAAATGTAATTGTTGTTTGACATTAGACTATTTGTATGTAAGATTGTTGTAATTGTTGGATCCACTTTTAACTATTTGTGAACATTAGTTAAAAATAAATTTTATTAGTTCAAATATCTTTGCCATTGTGACAATTTTCTAATTTCATTATACATTTACTAGAAGTTTGACGCTTTAAAAAAATGTTATCAGTAGTGCTTATTCAACGAGATGGTTTGTTTTTATAATTCTGCAGGTTAAGGGCCTGTCCATCGAACATGAGAAGCTTGCGGTAGTGCATGGCAGTAAACACATTGGTCAGGTGGGTGAGGACATTTCACTGGACTCCCCAACTGGCCGTAAACCCAAACTTGGAGATGGCTCTCAGAGCTCCAGCTCTGAGCAGCAACCACCTCCACCACAGCCAATGCACCCGCAGCATCATGCCCCTACCTCCTCTGCCTCTGCTTCATATGCATCTATTCTTTCTCCTTATCCTTTGCATTACCGTCCGTATGAGCAGAGAGTTCCAGCTTCTGCTCCCCCTGCCACTGCTTCTGGTTCCCAAAGCCAGATGTACGACAATTTCCCACGCAAGCGACACCACCGTAGTTCATCAGAGGCCCCACCCCCAGATGCCGTGCGTGCCTCAGTTCTTCGTGATGGTTCAAAGTCACGTGAAGCCGTAGAACGGGCCAGCATGCCTTTGGGGTATCGGCCAGGTGGTTTGTCACCGGCAAGCGAGCCAGATGGCAAGGGTGAGGAGAAAGGATACCAACATGTGCGCTATGAAGGGGGGCCTGGGCCTGGTTCCTCGGTGGAGTCCCGTGATGCACGAGACAGGGAAGGACCCGGGGGCTCCTCCGTGGGGAATCCAGGCTCTGCAGGCACGGTCCCTTTTGACAGAACTGCTGCTGTGGATGTAGAGAGTGGGTCCCAGGCTAAGCCAGAGAGCAGACGCTCTTCTGTGGATCCCGGGAGCAATTGTCCAGAAGGTGAGTGCCATTTGTTAGTGCCTTGAATGTGGTTGTTATTCCTCTTTTCTAGTACTGTTGATTTCTGAATTAGCTAAAATAAATACCTCTGTAGATTGAACATTTTGTAAGAGCTATTAAAAAAATGTGGATTTTGAATTTAAACAAGTACTTGGTTAATGAGTAATAACAAGGAAAAATATACATAAAGAAGGGGTTTTGTAAAATTTGTTTTGTGTTACTTTGAAACACAGAATTATCAGTGGGGAAGACTTTTTAGCAATGTGGAGGGATATGCGTTCAGGCTCAAGGTCATGAAAGGGAACAACCCCTGGGGGCAGTGACAGGTGCAGAAGGGGTTGAGCAACCCCTCTGTGATGTCCCTTTCCCTCCCCTCTGCCTCATGTGGTGGAGGGTGGGGGAAGTGACCAGCATGAGGGGGGCAGGTAATCAATACAGCAGCAGAGTACGCATCTCTGAAGGCATATGTGTGTGTGAATGTGCATGTGTTTCCAGGGGAGGGAGTGGACTGGCACTAAAGTGGTTGGTATTCAAGTGGAAACTAACCCTTCTTTTAATGAGGTGAACAGGATGTTAAGTTGTACCAAAGTTGTGATCTGTCATGCGTGTTCCAGAAGGGGTGAAAGATAAAAGGAAATTCTCTTATTTCTGTACACCTTGATGCTCTTGTTTCTTTGCCTGTGCCTAAAGGTTGTTGCTCTTATTAGGAACTGAGGTATAAAAAATAGAAATATAGTACATGTGCTCTTTTCCTGGATCCTCTTTTTTCCCTTGATAATTCATTTCTTTAACTGAAATTTGAATAACTTTGGAAAACTTTCTTTTCTTCTTGGAATAATTGTACTGCTTTGAAGTATTTTTGAATTTAGTGTTCTTTTTATGATAAATTAATTGATGTTATTTTGTGATTTTCAGATTTACGGGTGAAATTGGAATTTACTTCTGGCAGTCACTCTGAAGAGCAACATGGGAATGCTGCTCCATATGCAGAGCCAGCTGTTGAAACTGCAGCTCCCGAAAGCTTGCCTGCGAATGTGTGGAACTCAGGAACTAGCATCAAAATGTCCCCTCACAAAGGAGGTCCTGTGGCTACTACAGATGGTAAGCAATGTAAAATTGGTAAGGAGAAAAAATTAAATATAAACAAATTTTTTTGCATGTCTTACAATGATAATGAATCTTAATTTGCTTGTGCATGTTAAGTAAGAAGTGAATTTTTCATTTAAATAAATAAACTTGTTTAACATTTTCATTACTTGTTTTGTTTTCTAGTAGTTTATTTTGTCTGGTGTGTGTGTTAGTAACTGGCAGAATATACCTACTTTGTCTATGAGGTGCTGGGATGTAGATTGGGACATAAATTATTAGTTTTAGTATTATTCAGAGCATGACTTTTCAAAATTTATTTTGTAACCTCATTTCATTTTTGTCCAAATTGTTACATTCTAGAAAATGCATGAAGAGTGTTTTGTGAAGTTGGTGTCCACATACATAGTTCGTGTTATTCTTTCTTAATTGTTGTGGGTGCCGGGTGTATGATTTCACTCAAGGCCATGTCTTGGAGGTGACTGGGAAGTAGGTCAAGGTGTCAGTTGGCCTTGTGTAAGACAGTGAATTCGTTAGTATGGAGAGAGAGAGAGTATTCCTAGGTGTTGAAGGTTCAAGGCAACAAGTAGATATTTTAAGACTTGTGACCAGTAAAATAAATAACAGGGAAAAATAAAATGTTTATAACACGCATTTACTAATTTTTGTGTAATTTTTCACATTCTTGACATTCCTAAAAATTTTAAGTTATTAAAATTCTTTGGGAAATTAGGTTCCAATTTTAGTTACAGAGCACAAGTGCTGAGTAATGGAAATTCTGTTGAACATTTCATAACCATATGAAAAGAAAACAAAATTTGAGTAGTTTTGAACTAGTCCTTCATGTTAAATTTTTAAAGCAGACAATTACTTTTATAAGGCTTTCATTAGCATAAGAATCAAAGATAAGAAATTATGTGAAGGCAAGAAGGAATTCAGTGTGACCCATTTCCCAATTCAGATGGCCTTGGTGAAGTTACAAAGAAAAGATAAGTATTCCTTTAAAAAAAAAAGCTGGAATACTTCTTAACATAGTTCTTCAGTGTGTTGTACTGCAACATCCCCCACCCCCCATCCCAGAAGTCAGAACCATCTTTTTAGGAATATCTTTTTGACTAATTTTGTATAACAATAGTCTGGCTATATATCAATCAAACACATTAAATAAGGATGGTATGATTTAAATCTTGTGATTTAATTCATGAATTAAATGAAATGATTTTTTTAAATTAATGGTTTAAATCAATATTTATTATTTGTAATATTGATATATATATAATATTTGGAAAATATTTACATTTTAAACATTGGTAAAATAAAAATAACTCAGATTAAGACTTCAATCAATTACAAAATTGATGTATTTCATTTAATTGAATTATTTTGAGAAAATAAAATACAATATAATCTACAATTAAAAGAACAGTAAACAATTTGTAGCAGTGTTATGTACTAATAGTATGGTCAATTTTTTTGTATCCAGCATTTAATTGTCGGGAGAAAAAAACTAATTTAGCAGTAACACTGCCCTAACACTCACCAAGCTAGTTTAGAGAAAAACACGTTTAAAGCTTGAATGGTAATCACAATTCTAGGTTTGTGTTGAAATGTTTGTTAAAGGCAATCTAATCTAATCTAAAGTAAATCTTAAAAGGCGGTGAGTATTAATAAAAATGGAATTTTATTCATACTCATTTAAGGACCAAAATTAATATTATTTAAATTAATAAAAACTGTAGTTTATCTTACTTGTTTCACTAATATTAACCTTCTTTGTGTGTACATTGATAAAATTCCAAGTGGGAATACTTTCCACTGGTCGTTAAAGGATTAATGGCAAAGTGCCCAGCCACCATTATACCCTACATTTTTTGATAGCAGAACAACTTTTAAGTAGGATTTACTATTTCAAAAACTGACTAATGTTATAAGTTATTCTATGAATACAGTTGTTTTCAACAAATCATGCTTTTTGATTAGGGCAGTATTGCACTAAAAATGGTACAATTTCTTTGAGTGAAGAATTTTTTCTTCTAAATTGTGATAATAGATGGTGCCACAAGCTTATTCAGGAATGTGAACGCAAGAGAAGTGTGACAAGAGCATGAAACTAGAAGTAAATCAAATTTAAAGATTTTGGGGGTAAAGGCAGTATTGGATCAGACCAAATACGTTCAAATATATAAAGTAACATTATTTTTATAAATTAAATTACTACAATTTAATGATAAATTTAAAAACTGATATTTCAGTAAACTTTTTTTCTGCTTTTAAAGTAATTAAGGATAAATAAATCGCTAAGCAATTTTGGTTTAAAGTAAAAACATATAGTACAATTTTAAAAAGTTTGATATAAATAAAATTAAATTAGATTTTTTAAATAAAATCATGATTTTTTAAATAAAATCATGATTTTTTAAATAAAATCATGATTTTTTAAATAAAATCATGATTTTTTAAATATCATCATGATTTTTTAAATAAAATCATGATTTTTTCTAGCCCTAATTATAAATCACAATCTAATACACTTATAAACATACAAATAAAAACAAATTTTAATTTCAGAGTACATTAAAATTTTTTTATAAAAAAACGAAGTTAGCATGTTAGCTTGCCTTCCCATCTACACGCACGCACACACAGAAAAATCATGATCGTGTCATTGACAACTAGTTTTCATTTTGAAAGTATTAAATTATTTTCCTGTAGAGCTCTGAATATAATAATAGGTAAGCAATGTGTTTGTTATAATTTTTATTAATTTTTAATACATTTTTCCTTTGTGTATATTTCTAGATGTAATAGTGAACTTCATAAACAAATTGGTTTCTTGTTTAATCCTTTATTTTCTCTTGGTGTAAAAAGAAACAGCAGGGATGATAGAAATCTGATGGAAAAAAAAGAATTTGATTATTTTTTGTCAAATCAAGTTTTTATTTTTTGTCAAGTTATTATTTCTTTTACATCAATAAAACAAAAAATCACTATTAGTCATGTTAATGTGTTATTGAAATGAATAACAGTATTTGGAGAAAATCATGTAGTTTTATTCAAAGAATTGATTTAAACATTCAAGTTGTGTGTCACATTAGAGACCTCATAGAGTTGATACGCATACACTATATAGTGTTCCAACTTTGGGTACATTAGAGATAATTTGGTCAGCTTGATTATTTTAGTTTAGACTATATATGCCCAGCTCTTTTTTCTCCCTCCCCCCCTTTTCTTCTTCTTCTTTTTAAATAGTTATTTGGCTGTGAGGGTTTTGAACAACAAAAGTGACTCCCAGTAATATAATTTTGCGTGAAAATGCTTTTTATTTCATAGAAATGGTATGTTGCGAAAATGCAAGTCTAGGTTATAGGGATAAAATGTAAGTTTCTTTCCTTTGACAGATTACTCCGGGTGCAACTTCTGCTGTGAATACTGCAATAACTAGTGAAACACATTTTATTATAATGAATATTTTAGCAACGGTTATAACGTTTATTTAATTGTAAGTTTCTTGACCTTAATGAAAAATAGACTTCAGTTTTTATATAACAATTTATTTCATGTTATAATTAATGATTCGACCCTATTTGGGGTGTTTTTTGAAAACTCAACCCAGTGTTCAGGTTAGTAGACATCATAAATAATAAGCATTTAGATAAAAATTGCCATTCCCATAAAATATAATCGGGTTGTCAGCTTCATCCGATCATTACAGATCATTTCATTCGGTCAGTTGATTTCATGTTAAATATAACATGAAATAAATTGTTATATAAAAGAACCTAGTCTGTTTTTATTAAGGACAAGGAACTTAAAATTAAAAGAAACTTATTTTATTTTTATGAACATTTCATGTGACCTGCATTGACCGGATGAAGCTGAAATTTAATACCAAGATGAACGCATTCTTGCAAATATATTTTTCATTTATTCAAATTGGAACATTTATATTAACTTAAATATCACGTAGAAAAAATGTCAAACTCAAACCTATTTATATTGAAAAATAAATATTTATGATTTACATCAATGTTTTAAAAGATAATTATAAATAAATTTAAATCATATTTGTCCTGAACATAAGTAAGCATTAACTCTAGAATTTGTCTTGATGATTGCACACACACACAATATTTATTATATGTAATTTTTTTACAAAAAGTATTCGTTTTAAAGTTCCTTTGTGATGTCTTTTTTGCAGATGTTTTGTAACAATGCATGGCATGTTCTATTGCAGTTGCTGAATGTTGATAAGGAGGGTAGTTCAATGCAAGTACATTAATGATACTGTAATTTGTTAGTTGCACGAGTTATGAGTAGATCGTTTTTGAAAGATTTACTACTTATTTTTGTATTAACTGTAATGTGATTCAAATTATATTTACAGTATCTAATTCTTCAAGAATTCTTCCAAAATTAACAGTACGTCTGGATGTCATTTCAAAGCTATTTGTGTTTTTGTTTGGTCAAGATTTTTTCATTGAAATTTGTCTTAGGATGGGATTAATGGACGATATCAGTCTATTCGTGAATGGAAACCTAAAATTATATTTAAAAAGTATTTGTAGCAATTGACTGTTTTTTTAGATAGTGGGTCTAAACAATTCCAAACAAATAAAATGGATAATACATGGCTTAATCCTTACACATATGTGTACTATTGTGTAATCAAACTTAAAATGTAATGTTCATGTGTACTAGTGGTCAACACCCCTTATGTTTCCAGGAATATCAAAGTCATACTTATCCTTAAGATTGTAGCTCTCTGGTTTACAAATTACCTTGCCTTGCAGTTTAAAACAAGGGCTTATTTCTCTGTTTTTGAAATGGATACCAACTCCACCTAACTTGCAGGTTAAGAGTACTTAGAATTACTGTATTGTTACTTTCTTTGCTTTTGTTTCACGTTTTGTGAAAAAATTGTGCAGGTGGAAATATGAACATTAGGAATGAAATAGCAGTAAACAATTGCATAACTCCAACAAAAAATGTTAGTATATTGTAGGGTTCTTTTGCCA